TGATAATGTCGCTTCCTTGTAGCTAAAGGCAACAATTGCTAATATCCTCATGCTGTGTCTTAATTCTTTATCCAATGGGCCTTGAGAATAATAATAGTAGCAGTGTCAAAAATACTCAAATCCTATTGATAGAATGCTATAAAATTTGTAAAGCTTTGGGTCGGACGGGATGCAGGAATTCATGTTTGAGAACATTTTAATTCCGGACAAGCAATTAATCAGGTAGGATAGAAGGATCCGAAGGTGGGAGAGTTCTCGTAATAAACAAACGTCTCCTTGGACATGTTTAAGTCCTGCTCTTCAGGGGTGGGGGTGCCACACCACTCCATGTTGCACCCCTTTGCAATGCTCAGAGCCTTCTTTTGTAAGTTATAACAGGCATGAGAGAAAGGTTGCTCAGACTTTTGAGCAAATTTGATTCTCCAACCAACAGAGCACTGTTGGAAAGAATAAGGACTTTCTTTATACTCTGAACTCGCACCAAACACCTCGTTCTGTGAACAGACCGGCCTTGAAGGAAACGAGACACGTAAATCGTGATGGCATCTGTTCAGTCCTATTCCGGGATGGCGAGAACAAGATGGTGCCCGCGAGCCGTGTCCCGGCCCGACAAGCCCAGCTCTTAGCAGCCCCCTTTTATCCGACACCTTGAGTCCTGGAAAGAATTTTTTTTTTAATTCATGTATCATGAACTCAACCCTTGAAAGTGTACAAGTCCATGGTTTTCAGTATATGAAGGGCTTTCAAAAAGTTCCCCCAAAATTGTGAAAGATACTACACATGGATTTCCAATTTTTTTGCACCAAAATAAACTTGGCTTTCATTCCATTTTTCATGAAAAATTTTAAAACCATTATTTATTTTACTTTAATTATTATGATGACGATTATTATTATGGTTTACATTTTTCTCTAGGGCACGTGTGTTCACCAAAGAAGGACAGAGAAGGAAAGCGAGAAAGCAAGCCACCAGGTCTAGGACTCAAATAGTGATCAGCCGCGTAGGAATCCAGTGCCATAATCACCATGCCACCCTGCTGGTCCCTCCATGACATTTTTAAAGTACTATTGTGTTCACAAAGTTTTGTGACCATTATTACCATCTAATTCCAGAACATTCCCATCACCCCAAAAGGAAACCTTGTTCCCATTGGCAGTCACTCTCAATTTTTTCCCTCCTTCTGCCCTGCAGTCCTGAATGCCTCTCTAGACCCACCTCTACAGGATAGTTCATATAAATGGAAGCACACAGTGTGTGGCCCTTTGTGGTTAACTTTCACTTAGCAAAGGTTTTCGTGGTTCTTCCAGGACATACCATGCACCAGTATTTCATGCCTCTTCATGGCTTAGTAATATTCCATTATATAGAATATTTTGTTTATTTTTTTATGTTGTTGTCATTGTTGTTGATAAACTAAGGAGGGATTTTCGTGCTGGTCTGAGTTGAATTTGAGACCTATAGGCACTGTGTATGTCATCATTTCCTGATCAAAAAACTAATGTGAGGGACCAGCAGTTAGCGTAATGGCTATGTTGCTGGACTCCCATGTAGACGGCTGCGGTTCGCGTCCCGGACCTGGTGGCTTAAACTCACGCCGGACGCGTGTGTGTGCGTGCCCAAGATCCCGAGAGGAGAATGGAGGAGAAGGGATTGCAGCGTGACCATCCTCCCTGGGGGGTGATTTCTCGCTTTCTGTCTCTCTGTCTCTCTCTGTCTGTCTGGTGAGCGCATGTGCACTATAGCAAAAACCTCTTCAAAACAAACAAACAAAAAGAAACTAATGTGACAAAATTACTAGTGTTTTAGGAAGATTGCTATGGCAGGCCTGTGAAGACCAGGTCTGCAGTGAGGCAGAGATAGAGGATGATGGAATTTGGAACTCAATTCTACTAAACAGGAGGGGAAAAATCAAGGTCACACGGGGAATCTTTGTGTAAGAAGCAAACCTGAGCTTTCTCTCTCCTCCTCTCCCTCTCTCTCTCCAGTTCTGACCATGAAGCCATAAAACCGCAGGCTTAAACGAGCAACTCACCCTGGGGGAGAGCCCAGTGGTGGTTCCAACCTTGTCTCATATTTCTCCTGGCAGCTCCGTTGAAAATCAGCCGACCACACTCCCTCCAGGAATGTGCATGGCTGATAATTGCCTCTCGCACAATTATCTGCCAAATCCTGTTGTAATGAAGTGAATGATTTAGTTATCCTTGTTAGCCAGGGCCCACGTTTCACAAAGGGCCATTACTGCGTCCACAGGGTGGCTGGAACGCCAGCCAGTGCACCTGTGAATGATTCTCAGCATCAGCTCTCTCACTGCAGCTTGCTGGGGATGGGGAGGCTGCCAGAGGTCCCGGGCAGCCTGTGCCCTGCACAGTCCCCCGTACATCAAGACTGGAAACACCTAGAGGTAAAATGAGAAACGAGGCCAGGGCTCAGCTCCCTGCTTGCTGACTTTGAGCCACAAAGCCTGGGGCCACTTCCTCTAGCACACAAGGAAGGTCATCCTAAAGGGTCATGGTGACAGGCCTCATGTCAGATGTAGTTAGGTCCAGGGAGAAGCCTGGCTGATGAGCAAACAAGGGCATCCCTGCCTGCACTGGGGCACCCTAAGCCAGCCCATCTCAGCAGTGCCCGGCTCCTCCCCTTCCTTTGAGTCCACAGCCAAAGAGAACGTCTTCCCTTTGCCTGCCCTATCCAGATTTGACTGCCTCCTCCCTCCTCTTTCCCCGGAAGAGGCTGTGCAGTCTGTGGTCCCATCTGCTATTGCTCAGACCTGCTGCTTTTCAGGGGGACGGAGAAGAGGAGCAGGGAAAGTAGACAGAAGATCATGGAAGAGAGAGACGTAAACACAGAAAGTTATTTGGAGAACGCTGTGCAACATACATGGGAATGCACATGCACACACACACACACACACACACACACACACACACACACACACACACACACACACACACACACACACACACACACACACACACACACACACACACACACTCTTGCACATGCTTGTTTCTCCTCGTCATATCGTCTTCTGGAAGGTTCTATTTAGGGGCAAGGTGCTCAGGTCGGAAACGTCACCCAGATTTGTGATGAGAAACACACTTCACCTGGAAGATTCTGGACTTGCGTGTAGTTAACGGGCTCTTGGGACATTAGCAGAACCAAGTACTCGCCTGACTGTTCACAAGATAGCCAGGTATGACAGTCCGTGTAGGTGATGGTGGCTGCTCTGTACAGGGACCCAGCTTCACCCTGGTTGCTGTTTGTACTCTGGACGAGCCGTTTCATCCACAGCAATAAATAGTCGATGCTCAAGAAACGCTTCTGTACGTACAAACTTACTCCTTCTCAGTCCGCCTCCTGTGTGCCACTTCCTGAAACTGTGAAGGCAATGACAATGACGATGACCAGAGGGCTAACTAGACTGTGTGCGAGGAACATGTCTGAGGACTACAGTAAGAGCGTTGAAGAGGAGTTCAGTACCCGAACACCTGTCTATTGCAGCTAGAGAGGCACAGCCCCTCCTGATCCGGATGAGGAGGAAGACATGGTGCTGGGGTCACCACGGACCCTCTGTGAAGGCAGGGGTGCCCCTGGGAGCATCCCTCCAGAGGAGGAAGGAAGGGACCCGCTCAGATGGTCTTGCGGCCCGAATGATGCTTGATCTTCGCCATGTACACCAGGCATTTTCAACGTTCTGTATAAATGTGTTTGGTGCTCTTCTATCCCAATAAAGTCTTGTACAAACTCGGAGAGAGGAGAGACCAGAGAACTTTCTCTGGCCCAGAAGGGGGTGTGAAACTGACCATTATCCCAGAACCTCTCTTCTGCACTAACTGCTGAAGCATCTCTGCTCTGTATCCCAAGGGTCAGAAACTCCCAGCCCGAACTGGATGAGTGGACGGATGTCAGGCAGAAAAGGGGGAGGGGGTGGAGGAAGAAAGGAAGGGAACAAGAGGAAGACAGGTTTTCATTGCTCTTCGCCCAAGGTTATTGTTAGAACCACTTGCGCTCGGATGAATCAAGGCTGCTGCTTCTTGCTCCTCAGAAACACCCTTTACTTCTGTTCGTCCCAATGAAACAAACCATGCCACGCCAGGAAACTGGAGTCGGAACAGTACCTGTGTAATTGCGAGGGCTCCAGAAACAGACTGCCTGGGGTTGAATGCTGGCCCGTTACTTACCAGCTGTGTGATACTGGACATGTTATTTAACCTCTCCGTGCCTCAGTTTCCCCATCAGTGGAAGGGGAGTCGAAAGCACCTATCGTGAATCTGTTGTGAGGCTGAAATGTACTGTGCACGCACGGTGTTTAGCACACGGTAATGAGAAGAAATGCGGGCTGATGTCAGGTTGTGGGTACAGAAGCATGCCATTCATTGCGACGCCAGTTTGCACCCACAGTCTCCAGCCCTCTGCCCTCAGATCGGCATCCTGTCTGATCTCAGGGCCTGAGGGGTGGCCCAGCTCATTCGACAGTGGGGAAAGAGGGCTGAGCTGTTCCCACAGGCTGCAGGCTGGGCTCTGGGGCAGGTGGGTTGAGCAAAGAACAGGGCGGGGTTTTGTGCCTTTTGTGGTTTTGCTTCCTGCGGAAGGAATCTACAGTGGCGTCCAGCCTCGACTATATTTTATAGTGTGAAATGTTGATGGACTTCTCCCTGGTCTATCTGCTGTATAAGCAAGGGCAGGGGCAGAGCAGGGCAGGGCAGGGGCAGGGCAGGGCAGGGGCAGGGCAGGGCAGGGCAAGAGGGTGGAGGAGTCTTGTAGTATGAGATTCTGTTGAGGGTACTTGTATTTTTCTCTATCTCTTTCTCATGAACCAAATAAACTTTCTAAGAATACACTTATTTATTATTATTATTATTATTATTATTATTATTATCATTATTATCATTATTACTATTAGGTTTTACTCTAGGGTGTGAATGCTCACTAGAGAGAAAGTGAGAAATCATCCCCCAGGGTGGATGGCCATCCCTTGGGGCAGGGCAGGGGCAGCAGAGATGATCGGCGAGCTCCTGATCACCTCCGCCTATGGGGCTGAGCTCAGGAAAAGGTTCCAGCTTGGGGTGCATCTTGCTGAGAATCCAGACCCATTCTTCCTGGGGACAAGGTGGTGTGGGGGGCCTTAGGTTCCACATAGGGGATCTCCTGAGCATCCCTTTGACAATTGTGAAGTGCCATCTACGTGTATGGGGTCAGTGCTGCGAAGGCACGAGGGGACAGTGACCAGCAGAGGGGTGGTCAAACCCTTTAGCCAAATGCTAATAGTTTGAATCTGCTGGACGCGTCACCTCCAGGGTTTTCCTGATGTTTCCACACACTCTGTCTCCACAGTGAGCCCAAACTCAGGCTGCACTCTTGTGTCTGTTGTGGGGGGTCAGGCCGGACAGAGGAGTGGAGGCTTTGTAGTGGGGTTAGGGGCGGCCTAAGTTAGACAAGGAAGGGAACTGGGTTTGAATGGGGAGTTCATGGTGCTTGGACAGCCGGGGAAGTGGAGATGGGCAAGGCAGGGACAGGGCGGACTCCGACAGCAGCAGCAGCAGGGGTAGCCAGTGCGCCATCTTGGATGAGGAGGGTCTGGCTGGAGCAAGAGCAGTCGGGAAATGGCAGTCAAAGACTTCTGACTCGGTTCTACAGGAAATGGCATGAGACACACGCAGGGGCCGCATGGCTTGTCTCCTCCCAACTGGAAGCTGGGGGCCCTTCCCCGGAAGGGCCAACGGCGGTGAAGCAGGTCTGCAGCAGGCAGCGTGTGCACGGGCATGACACATTACCCAAGTGCAACTCTGTGTTTCCAGACCAGCCATGGCTCCCAGCTCCTCCAGCCTCTTACTCCTCCTGGCCCTGAGCACGGACAAGCCAGGGCTTGCACAGACGTGAGTTTTCACAAGCGTCACGAGGCCATAGAGCGCCATCTTGTCAGGTGGAAAAACTGAGGCACTCTGTGGGAAGACCCCGGTTCTGGGACCTGCCCTCGAATCGCTGTGGGGGGAGACAGATGGAGGCTGTGGCTTTCCTTCCTGTGGTAACCTTCTACTCTTGGTTCGTTCCCCGTGGGCTATAAAGAGAAGGTATTAGGACAAAGGGCTCTTTAGCCACTTCTCATTAGGCATGGAGGAGCTGGGTGGGGCAGGGGTGGGTTTGGATTAGGGATTCCCTGTCAGCAGACTCCCTCAGCCTACTGGTGAGTGCAATGCTAGAGAAGAGTGAGGCTTTGGCAGGTTAAGAAAGGAGAATTACTTAATCCTTACTCTGCAGAAGTGGAGGGAGGAAGGAGAATAACCCTGAGAGCCGAGGGAGCCGCCCAGCCTGGTGGGGCTGAGGAGGACTCTCGTGGACTCATGGGTCGCTGGCACACTAAGAGGAAGCCATGGTTGCTGCCTCGGGGCTCCTGGCCATGGCTGAGCGTCTCCCCGCTCTTCTTTGGACCCACTGCCGTCCTTTGCTCTCCGAGGGCCCCTCGTTCACCCAGGCTCCCCCTGTTCTCATTCTCCCTTGGACTGTGAGAATGGCAGCATGCCCATCCAGGGCATAGACTGGGCCTCAGTTCTGGTTCTCAGTGAGTGAGTGTGTGTGTGTGTGTGTGTGTGTGTGTGTGTGTGTGTAGGGGACTGGGAGTCAGCAGGTCAAAGCACAGGATAAAGAGCTTGTGGGACTGCGGGTGCCTATGAGTCACACCCTACGCCCTGGAGCCCAGAGGACCCTTCCAGGGATCTACCAGCTGCCTGCAGGACCCGAGCAGCCAGAGCAGCCTCAGTCACGCCCCGGATGAGCTGCAGGAACAGGTGAGCTGTGGGGACTGGACATGGGGCTCAGGAGAGGCAGGGAGGCCGGGGGTGCTCAGAAGGAGCCAGAGAAAGAGTGAGAGAGAGGAGGGGAACGGGGATCTTTGTGCCTCTCTGCACCCCCACCGCCCCCCAACTTGCTGAATGACATTGCTTTTCCTCGGAAGCAGTCTAGGGGTGCAGCCAGAGGCTGGAAATCCAAGTGGAGTGACAAAGGTGTAGGGATGGTGCAAGTTATGGCCCATGGAGTCTCCCCAGAGATGCAAGTGAATGGTCATTTAATGTCCTCAGGTAGGAATGGGGGAGGGCCCCCTAGCTGGTGGTCTTGTGGGGACACTGAGGAACCCAGGTTTTGTAGACCCCTCCTGTCCATGGTGTGAGGGAGGAAACACGTGAATAGAGAAGGGAGCGTTCTGGACAAGACCCAAATTCTGCTTGTACTATAGGTGGTGTCGATGGCCAGTACTCTGGAGGAGCTCTGCGAACACACCTGGGCCTTAGGAAACCGAGGTAGGCGGTGTCACCTAACAGGCACTGTTTGTTTACTCCACACAGCCTTCACGGCAGACATTGGGGAACAACAGCTGAGCAAGGCGGTGGGAGCAGCGGGGGGCCGCATGGTGGCAGGCGGGCACTATGGTTAGCGGAGCTGTCACCTTCCCTTGACTTTTCTAGACCCGAGGGTAGATTCCTGGTTCCTCGTATACTCACCACTCCCTGTCACCCTCCTGCTTGCCTTCTGTCTACTCGTGGTGGTGGCCGGCCCTCACTTCATGTCCCGACGGAAGCCCCTGGGACTGGCAGGACCCACCGCTGCCTACAACTTGGGCGTGGTGGTTCTCTCGGGGTATATGTTCCATGAGGTGAGGCTGACGGGGTATGTGGGGAGCTCTGGGGTCTCTTTGTGATTTGTGTATTTTTCTGTTTCTCTTTCCTGACTGCAAGCACTTCAAGGGTGGATCCTGAGTCTCAGTGATCTTTTTTGTTTTTATTTTATTTTTAAGGTTTTTGCCATAGGGCATGTGCACATGCTGGAGAGGGCTAGAGAGAGGGAAGTGAGAATCAGCCCCCGGGGGATGGCCATACGACAATCCCTTCTCCACCGACCTAGGATTTTGGACACACGGGCAGACACACACCGGGTGTGAGTTTCAAGCTACTGGGTCCAGAGCTTGAATCATGGTAGGCCATGTGAGAGTCCAGCGCCTTAATCAGCATGCCACCTGCTGGCCCCTCACCGATCTTTTTTAAAGCCGGGCCCAGTGTAAGGTCTGATCCCTGCGGGAACCGATACCTGTGACATGAGGCACGCCTGAGAGAACGTGCCGTCTCACTGTGGTGACAAGGCCCTCACTGCCACCCTAATCTTTGTCATCTCTGCTCTGCCCACCTCACTTTCTGCTCAGACGCCCTCCTTCGCTTCTTGGCCAGAACGGAGATGGAAAGTCCCGTGAGGCAGGAATCCTGCTCTGTTTTGTTTTATCCATGTGACTCATTGCTCAGAACAATGCCTAGCTTGGAAAAAGAGTTTAATATCACCCAATACACTATCATCAAATAAACAGATCAAGACAAAGCTCACGCATTTTAAAATTAAAATTTATTTTTTAAGAATTATTTTATTTAATGCTATTTATTTATTTATTCATTTATTTTAATTTGACCAGAAATGGACAGAGTGAGAGAGAGAGTAAGAGTGAGGGAGAGAGGAAAAGTGAGAAAGCAAGCCGCCGGGTCCGGGACTCGAAAATAACCTTCAAGACTCTTTCTTCACTGATCCTATGCTCTCCACTTCTGAGACTGCTTCTCCTTAGAACCTCCATTCACGTCCCACCCTGGGGAGTTCAGATAGGCCACATTCTTCTCCTGCATGAGCCTGCCTCTCCCTCCTCTGTTTTCCCAAGGCTCCCTTGTTCTCGCACCCAGGGCCTACTTCCAGAATATCTCCTGCTTCCCTTTCAGCTAGCAACAACCTTAACAGTTAGAATATTTCCTCTTCCTCACTCGAACTAGGCAGGGCCAAGTGCGTACAGCTTTGTTCTCCTTCTACCAGGCACTTAACTCAGAGTCTTACGGATAGTAAGTGCCCAGTGTGGGCCTATGGCCTTGATTTGTTCGCATTAAAAAAAGAAAATTAGAGACCAGCCAGATATAAACAAGTCCCACCTGCTGATCTAGGCTCCGCATGGCGCTTGTGTCACCAAGTGTCAGTGGGGTTGGAAAGGAATGGTATGGCCCCTGTAAGACCAAATCAAGAATCAGCCTTGCCCGCCTGAGCCAGTTGGGGCTTACAGTGGTGGAAGGAAACTTTGTGACTTGGCCTCTTCCTTTCCTCCCCCAGTTCCTGGCCACCTCGCTCCTGGCTGACTACAGCTACTTCTGCCAGGCAGTGGACTACAGCCGGAGCGCACTGGGCATGAGGGTATGGCAGGGAGTGGGAGTGTGAAGGCCGGAGGCAGAGGGCTGGTAGGAGGCACTTCCTAACAAGACCCTGACCTGGGCCTCCTGACAAGAGGCAGTGAACCGGTAGGTCTCACCCAGGCTTTGGAGTCCGCGACCTCAGACTGTGGTTTGGATCTCAGCTCGGCCAGTAACTGGCTGTGAGACCACGGTGGCGTGCTTCACTTTCCTGGCCTCGATTTTCTTATCTATAAAATGGGGATGATCATACCTACTTTATACAAGGAAATCATGGAAAAGAGGCCAAATTAGACAAACAGGAAGATGTTTAGCCATGGGGCTGGCACACCCTGAATTACCATCGCTGGCTGTGTTCTGTTCAACTGGAAGCAGAACAAAAGGCTTCCTTGTGGCAAAACCAAAACCAAAACCCCCAAAAACATACTAGCTGAGGCTTGACGAGTCACCAAGTTGAGTGACTGGTTGCTGAGTGAAGGCTAAGGTCTTGGGACTCAGAATGGCCTGGAGACCATAGCATCAGCATCACCCGGGACCCTGTGGAAATGCAAAATTTCCTGCTCCCTGTGGGCATGCTGACTGAGGCTTCACCACCAACAGTGTCCCATGAGCTCAGTAGATTGCAAGCTCTCTGTTGGGGCACGACTGGAGCACCCTGCTGGGATCACTGCAGTAGCTTTGGCCCTCTTGCTGGTGCTCACAGCACCAGTGTGCAGACAGCACCAGTGTGCAGACAACTAGGCGTTGTGGGAATGAGGACACATGAGCCCTGTCCCTGGCCAAGCCGGGGAGGTGCACCATCAGCAGGATAATGGTTTAACTGAGCTTCCCCTTCCTGTCCAGCAGATGGCGAACGTGTGCTGGTGGTGCTTCTTCAAGGTCTTTGAGCTGCTTGACACAGTAAGACCCGTAGGTTCCTGTACTGAGTTGTTCCACGGAAGACAGGTCTAGTGGAAACTGTTTCCCTCCAGTGTCTCTGTTGGAGGTTCCCGGGTGTTGCCTGACAAGGGGAAAGCCATGGTCCCAGTTCCTGGTTGAGGAAGGAAGCTTGGGTCCTGAGGTCTCATTGCACGGCCACAGGCTGCCACTCTCCATCCAAGCATCTGCCCCAGAGTAGCTTTTGCCTGCATTAGCAACCAGGTTCCACATTAAATTGAAATAGAAATTTAAACAGATTTTTAAACTGGTATCATGTGGGAAGGTTCTTAAACAGCAAAGCCAGACTTCCACATTACAGAGGGAAAGTAGCCCTACTGCGGACCCACGGGCTTGTAGGACTGAGTGGAGTAAGACAAGGTCAAAATGATGGGACATGAAGAAAGGAGGAGGCTCTTTCTTATCAGTCTTTTGCCAAATGGAGTCTGATCAGAGAACATTTGAGAATTTGTCTTACAGTGTCTAGGGCCTGGGCTGGGTATGCAATGCCTGAGTTCTCTCTGAGGACAAGATATTGGGAAGGGCCCTGTCTCTGAAACCACATGGTTCAAATCCCGGCTGGCCATCTATTACTTGTGGCCAAGTTACTTCACCTTCCTGTGCCTCAGTTTCCTCACATATAAAGTGGAGGTGATAGTATGGACCACATACTGTTATGGAATATTTAAATGATTTTTCATACATATAAGGTGCCTGCCACACACTGGGTGCTAAACAAGCATCTGACTGTTATTTCCCTTTAGTTTTAGTTTCTCCCCTAAAACAGGTAGAATCACATTTCCTTCTCTAAGGAGTCCTTGATCCCCAATAGAAGAGTCCGGAGAAAGAAGGCCCCGGAGTTGACAGCATCTCTTCTCCCCTCCAGGTCTTCCTTATATTATGAAAGAAGCCTGAGCAGCTCACCTTCCTGCATGTCTACCATCATGGCGCCATGCTCTTCAACTGGTGGGCTGGTGTCAAGTATGTGCCGGGTGGTCAAGGTAAGTGGTACCCCCGTGGCGACCCTGACACCAGGACCTAGAAATCCAGGCCTCTGCTGGCTGAGTCCTGGCTTGGGAGAAGTGCACCCCTGTAATATTATGACCTGTCACTAAGACTGTCCTTCCCTGTGGCTGCAAGATCAGGCCTCTCCTTCCCGAGGCTCCCTAGAGCCTCCTGGCTGCCCTTCTCAGGGTGGGGTGAGTGGCTGCTGGGAGGTACTCAAAGCCTCAAGCCCTGAGCACAGAGGGAGTTAGAGACACTCTCTTTTCACGTCCCATTCACCCTACCCCTCCATCATGACCTCCGAGGTCTCAGGCTAGGTCTCATGATAGGATCTTTCCAAGGACTTTCTCGGACAGGGTCTGTAAAGATATTCTCTGCAGCTTGGATGATTGAGACATCAAGGAAAAAACCAACCCACAGCTATACCCGGTCCATTATTTTCCTTTATCCCTCCCACCCCACTCTGCAGCCTTTTTCATCGGGATGCTTAATTCTTTGATCCACGTCTTCCTGTATACGTACTATGGACTGACCAGTCTGGGGCCTCACATGCGGCCTTACCTATGGTGGAAGCGACACCTTACCATCCTACAGTTGGTGAGAAGACCCCTTAGCTCTAGGGATCTTGGCTGAGTCCTCTGTTCTGTTCTTGGGTTCTGTTCTTTGGCAGTCCTTGGTTCTGTTCTTGGCTCTGTATCTGACCATGAACAAACTTTTCTCAAACTCCTAGTTTCCTGACTTGCAAGCATCTCAGTAGCCATCTCATTAGATCCTGGAGCCAACCTTAGCTCACTGATATCATGTGGGACTTTGAGCAAATGACTTCCATCTCAGGCTTCAGTGTCCTCATCTGTAAGATGGGAGGCTCAACTAGGTGACCTCAGAGCACTAATGTCCTGGGTCTATGATTACTGATTGCAGCCTCCAGGGACATGGTGCTTTGTGGTTTGGGAGCATCACTGCCAGATGGTGGTGATGACCTGAGGTGTCACTCATGAGTCCAGTCATGAGGGCCAACATGACACGGATGATTAGGAGCAAAGTGGAACTAAGACCAAGAGACAAGCAGGAATATTCTTGGTATCATGGGTTAGAAACAAGGCTTCATCTGGCTTCTTTGTTTCTCTCCCCTGGAGCTGTAAGAGGCCCAGACTGTGCTGGTAGACAGAGGGGTTAAGACAGAAAAGGGACAAAGGGAGCATTACTTTATTTCTGGGCTCTATTTCTTCTGCTCTCCCACCTCTTTTCTCTCTTTTTCTTAGGGTCAGTTTGTGGTCATTGTGGCCCACTCCTCCTACAGTCTCTTTGCTGAATGCCCCTTCCCTGCTGGGTTCAATGTGGCTGCCCTCCTGTACACCACCAGTCTCATCCTGTTTCTCAACTTCTACCACCATACATACCTGAGGGACAAGCAAGAAAAGCTGGCTTAAGGAGTGGGATCCAAAGATGGAAACTGGCAAAGCCATCCCTACAGAGAAGTGGGCAGAAGACTGTGGCTCCCAGCCCACCTGCATGAGCAGGTACCTCTGGGCCTACATATTATCTGAGGAGGAAGGAGGAGGATTGTCCAGAGTTTAGGAGGAAAGAATTGCATCTAGTTTTCTGTACTCGCTTCTGTGAGCACATCTCAAGTGGATTTATAACTGTGCATCTCCTTCTTCTGCTAGACGTAGGGCCCTCATGGGAAGGACTTATTCACAGTGGTCTTTACACCTGGCACAGCATCTCAATAAATACACATTTGGATCCTTGGATTCCCTGCCTTGGAGTCATGACCACTGGGAGTGGAGGAAGTCAAGACTGGCTTGATAGCTAACTTGCAGAAGGAAATCCTGACCAGGAATATCCAAAGTGAAGTGGATCTGTTTTATTTCTTGTGTGGGTGTGTGAAGAGTTACCTCAGGCCAGCGGGTGTATGGTGGTTAAAGGTGCTGGATTCCCACAAGGCTAACCATGGTTCAAGTCCCAGACCTGGCAGCTTGCTTTCTCTCTTCCCTCTCTCTCTCTCTGTCTCTCTCTGGTGAAATTAAAAAATAATAGTAACGAATGGAAATAAATAAATAAATCTTTAAAAATAAAAGTTATTCTGCATATCTTTTCTGTTGACTACCTGCCTATAAGTGTGTTTATATACTTTTGTGATCCAGAGTGTGTAAATAGGGTGAGGAAGAGGGCCATGTGTGCAAGTTAGAAGACTTGTTTTCAAATATATATGCATGTTTCCACATGTGGTTCTATCTGCTTATGTTGCTTGTCATTTCTGTAAATCTGAAATTACTACACTGGCAAATAACACCACTGGATCAGTCATTCTCCCATCCCAGTGAAAGACATGGAAGCCCATTGAGGAATCTCTGAATACATGTTTTGCTAACATCTTCCAAAGAGGGACAATTAAAAAGAGGGATAGGGTAAAATGTCTATTTCATAGACAGGGAAACGGAGGCATATATGACTAAGGTCATATAAAATGGTGGAAGTTAACATCTGCTGGGCTGTTTAAACTCAGAACTGGATGGATCTCCTTTACAATTTCTCTCCTTTACTCTTTTTGATTCCTAGGTAAGTTCTAATTTTGTTATGTCGTGCTATTTGGGATCTATTTACCCATAAGGCATTGGAGTTAATCAACTCAAGGCCAGTGAGCGTTACATCCTGTGGACATAAATGTGCAGACAATTCCTTCTAAATTGTGCAGGATATGAGAACATCCCACACACTTTTCCATGCACAGGTTGAGTGCCTTTGAGGGTCAGGGTGTGACTATTTTAAGACAAAGTCTCATAAATTTTTTTAGATACACAGGAGTAAGTACATTTGTTTAGCAGCCAGGATAAGGGAAAAATTAGTCATTCCAGAGATCAGAGCTAATGCATGTCCAGTTCTTGGTGGCTGTATCTGCCTAAGCTGCATAGGTTTTCTGTTGTACACAGCCCAGGGTGATCAGACATTATTTGGGGGTTAGTGGGAGCCAAGGAACCTGATCAGATATGGAGAATGGTGGTTCTTTGCTAAAACTGAAATTTACAAGGACATTCATAGATGGACCCAGCAGTTGGTTCAGAGCCTGACTAAACTTTGATCAAGCAAATAATATTTCTTGGGGGAGGGGAGGAATCTTAATAAAATCTTCACATCTATAACAATAGTGCATTGATAATAGTGAATGGTAGCAGTTTGTGAACTACAGTTCCTAGTGTTTAAAAGCTTTTTCTTGAGAAATAGATGAAATTATCCCCATGATTGAAAAGAGACTTGCCAAGAATCAATATACATAATGACAGACCATGCCTCTTCACTTCATGCCCAGGGCTCCTTCCCCTCTAGGATGGGGTCCAAATGAAAAGAATTTCTTTTCATAGGGCAGTTTAGATAATCCCACAGCTGACTGTATTGTAGACTTATCCTTCTGTAAAATTGTTATTAGACTTCTATATTCCACCACCTACCACCATCCTGTGTCTTCTTCCTTTTCCTGGGCTTTTATACATGCAGTACTCCTGTGGTGATTAAATTGACCATTTAGCTCTCAAATTGCAAAATATCAAGATGAGATAAGAGGAAATGAAGAAGATACAGAAGAAAAATAAACTTAATCCCTACTTCTAAAAGGAATAAGGGGAAAAGAGAGGATCAATAGGGGATACCTTTCAATCCCAGAGTTGGAAACTGGGAGATGCTGTCCCACATGTGTTGATGATATTCTGTCCCTCACTCATCCAGGAACAACAAGTAGGCCCAAGCCAAGATGATTAGTTTTAGTTCATAATCAGGGACCCCTGCCCAGCCTGCTGTGGGGGAAGAAGGGCTCTAAGGCCATTGCAGTATACAAGCACACCACACAGAATGGTCTACCACCTTATATTCTACCGTTTAGCTCAACCTCTATCCATATTGGGAAGAGTTAAGTTTGGGTATGCAAGAACCAAACACCTGAATGTAAAAGATTTTGAAGGAATTCTTTCCCATAACTCCCTTAGCAGTAAAAGGAGAGAAACTCTCCTCTGAAAACCTGAACTCCAAACTCATTCTGTGAATTCCACACTCCAACCCATAATAGAGGAGGAAAATTGGCTCAAAACTTACACATGTCATAAAAATCAAAGCAAAGACTCAAGAAAAAGGATAAAATCAGGAAATACCTCCCCATCAAAGGATCATAACTCCTCACCAACAATGAATAAGTCACAAGAGATTGCAGAAATGTCAGGAAAAGAATTAAAGATATTTATTCATTATAACAAGACTCAACAGATGGGAGAGGAAACAGACAACCAATCCCAAGAGATGAGAAAATCTTCTCATGACCTGAAGGAGAAACTCCACAAAGAGATATACACACTGAAAAAGAATCAAATAGAATACCTGGATATAAAGAATATGATGCAGAAAATCAAAACCTCCCTTAAAAGCATAAACAGCAAATTAGGCTAGGAAGAAGAAAGAATCTCTGACCTTGAAGACAAAATTTCTGATTTGGTCCAAGCAACCAAAAAGAATAGAATAATCATAAAAACTGAGAACAATATACAGGAAACCCTAAATTCTATTAAACAGCCAAATAACTGCATAATAGGTATCCCAGAAGGTGAATAGGCAGGTAAAGGCATAGAAAGCATCTTTCTTATTGTATTAGCTGCAAACTTTCCAAATTTAAAGACGCATGTAAACATCCAAATCCAGGAAATACAAAGGACACCAAATATATGTAACATAAGAAGATCCCCTCCAAGGTCTATCCAAGTCAAATTGGTAAAAATCAAAGACAAAGATAATGTTCTAAAAATGGCAAGAGGGAAACACCAAGTTACTTACAAAGTTACCCTATTAGACTAACATTGGATCTTTCTTTTTTATGTTTGTAGAGTTGTTTATAGTATTCTTTTTTTAAAAAATTATTTATTAATTTTTTATATACATTCAATCACATTATTTAGCTTACAAAGTGAACATTTCAGTATGTGAACATTTCTCCCCAGTCCAGTTGATCAAAGTATCTTCAACAGATAACACCATACCTCCCCATCCCGTCAATGCTCTACCTCTGTATCCCTCCTCCAACTGTCCTTCCCTAGACCCCACTCCTCCACACACATCACATCTGGCATTCACACCCATCTCTTGTGTTTGTATATCTTTTAGTCAATCAGATGAATGGATTGCAAAACTGTGGCACATATACTCTATGGAATACTATTCCGTCATAAAAAACAACAAAACTCTGACTTTTGACAGAAAGTGGAAGAATATGGAAGATTTACTGCTGAGTGAAGCAAGCCAGGCTATGAAGGAGAGACACTGCATGTCCCCACTTAATATAACATCGAATCTTTCAACTGAAACAATGCAGACAAGGAAAGAATAAGAAAACATATTTAAAATTCTGAAAGAAAAGAAATTTCAGTCAAGAGTACTGTACTTGGCAAGGTCATCCTTCAAATGGGAAGGAAAAATAAAATCATTCCCAGATAAACAAATGCTGAAAGAATTCACCAAAATGTAACTGACTTTTCAGGAAACACTTAAGGGACTACTATGCCAGGTAAGATAAAGGGAGACAAAGAGAAGTAAAAGAACACAGAAGAACTAGAAAATAAAGATTAAGTCCACACATATTGATAATGATATTGAATATCAGGACTAAATTTCCCAACTAAAATGCTAAAACTACAGATTCAACTATTTTATACACAAACAAGTTTAAATACAAATTCATCAATTATTTGACAGACAGTTGTTGCCACAGGTTTTAATTTATGTATTTATTATAACCATTACTTATTATATAAAACTATTTAGATAATAGAGGAAAAATCCAAAATATTACAAGTAACTGAGTCTTTCTTTGGAATGAATTTAAAGAAGGCTAAAATCAAGAACTTCGTAATGTCTAAATATCACCAAATCACTGGATTTACCATGTCTTCCCTTTTAAACATCTCTCTCCAAATTTTTTCTGTTTTTACTCTTTTGAGGACTTTTTTTTTGAGAGATTTTTGCAATAGGGCGCGTGCACTCACCAGACAGAGAGAGAGAGAGAGACAGAAAGCAGGAAATCACCCCCCAGGGGGATGGCCACGCCACAATCCCTTCTCCTCCATTCTCCTCTCGGGATCTTGGGCACGCACGCACACGCACCTGGCATGAGTTTAAGCCACGGGGTCCGGGACTCGAACTGCGGTCGACTACATGGGAGTCCAGCGACATAGCCATTATGCTAACTGCTGGTCCCTTGAGGACTTATTTTTTATACACAGTATAGTAGTATGGTCTTATAAGAAGTGAGTGAGTAAAAGTGTTCTTTTTATATCTCTTACTAACCAGCTATTGTGTAGAGTTTTATCATGTCTGACTGGACAAATGGTTGATACCCACAGATTTTGTTTTTCAGATAATAAACTCTTTTCTCCCACAGTCCTCTACTTGGAAATTACAAATTCTTCTTTCATTGTCTGTGTTAAGATTATCTTTATTAATTTATGAGCTCTTTTGTTGCCTGATTTTTAGTCAATATATTTTTCTTTAGAACGATATCTCACAGTAA